ATAATAATGCAATTTAATTAAATTAATTAATTTATAACAAATATATATTTTGAAACAATTATTATACAAAAATAATTCAGAAAATATAACTAGAATTTAGATTTAAAAATAAAATACTTATAAAAATTATATTTTGTTTTAATTTAAATAAATTAATTTCAACTAAAAAAAACAAAATAAGTTTTTGCTGGCATTTCACTTGAAAGTCAACCCACAAATATTTGTGAATTTTGATTAGACTATAGATAAGCGAGTATTAAAATGTTAATCAATTATATAAAAAGTATTTTTTTATACTAAAAAAATCAAAATTTATATGTAATTTATAATTTATTTTTTTAGTCAATAATGCTTGTAAATCAAATTGAAACAAAAAATAAAATATTTGTAAAACACTTAGTTTTAAATAATTGCAGTCGTATGTAATTTAATAATATTAAAAACTTTATTTAAAAAATAATCTTATAATTAAAATACATTAAAATATTGTTGACATTGAAATGAGTGAAGAGTTATAGTGTTAAAAGCATTGGTATGCGTGTGAGTAATACGGGTGACCATTGATGTCCAATTTTATCACCTTAACTGATTCATCCATAAAAATAACTGATACTATTTAAAACTATAGATATTAAACTACTTAAATATAAAAAATAATTTCAATCGGCCACCGGCTAAGGGCAGTTATGCAACTTTTAATTTTTGTAAAATACAAAAATGCTGTATATCTTACATATTAATTTATTAGTTAAATATATCTTATTAATAAATAATAAATGCTATTTAATTAAATTAATTAATTTAAAACAAATATATATTGAGTAGTAGTAATGATATTAATATTAGTAATGGGATTACTAGTACTATTAATGTATCAAATTATTAATTATTAAAACACAAAAATAATTCAGAAAAAAATAAACTAGAATTTAGATTTAAAAATAATTAAAAATAATAGTTTGTTTTCAATTAAATTTCAACTAAAAAAATAAGTTTTTTCTGGCATTTCACTTGAAAGTCAACCCCCAATAGTGTCGTCAATATTTGACGACGACTTATACCCCTTAAGTTGTTGTTGTTGTTGTTGTTGTTGTTGTTGTGAGTCGTGTCCATCCAGTGATCGGATGGTCGCCACTGAATCTTCATTGGTCTCCGGTTTCAATGTCTTAGTCTATAATATAAAAAACAACATAAATTCAATAAAATATTTTTAATCAAATTTTTAATAAATATTTTTTACATTTTTGTCTTCAGTTGATGTTTTTAAGGAATAAATTATTAGACAAATGACGATAACTATGACGACGACAATAATTATGACAATAACTGCAACTATAATATAAGGCATTAAACCATTTTTGTTGGTCGAGTCAGTTGTTTTAGCAATGATTTTGGAAGAATCGGTAGTTTTATCGGTGGTTTTGAACATTTCAGTAGACTTAGCGGTAGTTTTGAACGACTCAGTAGTTGTATCAGTGGTTTGTGTGACAGTGGTGTCCGATATGGTGGTCAACAATGTTGTTGTTGTTGTTGTTATCTTTTCCCACCAAATGTTTTTACAGTCGATGGCATACGGTTTGAGTTTGTATTTAGATTTGCACTGAAAATACAATTATTGAAAAAAACAAAAAAAAATATACCAAAAAAATAATAATAACAATAAAACAATCATTACTTTCGGTGACAACGTTTGGTTGAATTGTGTCGAACAATAGTATGGTTTTCCGTCGATATTAAAGAACAATATATAACCGGATCTATTGTTATGTTTATTGCCGACGACTAAGCCATAGTCGACAATAGCGTTAATCTTTGGCCAGAATTTGTTAGGTATATCGTCGATAAACTTTGGATACGAACAGTAATTTGATTTTTTGCATTCATCCGAATCTAATGTTTTATTTTCCAACAAATATATGAATTTTCCGACACCTTTGCGATGTCTGTCCATAACTATTATATAGTTAGACGACTCCTGTGGTACGGGACTGAATATAATTGAATCCGTGATATCGTATTGCAAAATGTATTCAGATTTCAATGGATTATCCGATCCATTGATGTTTTCCAAACATTTAATAACTGTTATTTCTATGTGTCCATTTAACTAATAAAAACATTTATATATATTTTTTAGTTAAATATTTGGAACAGAATCGGTATATGTAACCCATTTGTTGTTCAAGTTTTAAACGCTATTAAAATGATAATTTAACAAGTTTTACATACCAGCCCTCACCTCCCGTTCCTTCCCTCCACATACGCCACTTCCTAACCCTCTACACCCACCCTAACCTAACCTAACCTAAAGTAATTGATAGCATTTGTCATAAACTTAATGGTTATAACAACGCGCGTGAAATTTCAACAACAAATGGGTTACATATAACGAACTTTAGCCAAATATTTAATTGAATTAATTACAACAACTACTACTACTACTACTACCACTTTATACATACGATTGAAAGCTTAAGATCGGCAATACATGACATACAACTATAATTTAAATATAATTGATAATCATTTAGTCGATTAGTTTGTATAGTTTTAACGGCAAGTCTGGCCATATGTTTGTTTGTCATATTACTGTTTGTTGAATATCTATTGATATCTATTGTCACCAGTGGTTCATCAATACTATGATTGTCTGCCGCAATGATATCAGTGTTGTTAGGAAACGACACTTCAAATTGAAATTGTGGTGATCTGTATAACTCGCACATCATATAGACATCGGTATAGTATTCAGCATTTCGATGGTCGACATCCCATATATGATAGACTCGGATGCCATCAAACATACCAAATGGTGCCAATATATCGCACACCGACTGCTGTTCAGACCAATCCGTGGACGACATAGCAATTACAGCAAACAATAATAGCAACGAAATCATAGACATTATATACAATTATAATTATTGGCTAATCCGGAGTTTACGCACATTAAAAAAAATTGATTTTTTTCAACAGATAATTGTTAATTATGATCTAAAAAACATATATCCATCAAAATTATTGCGCGGAAACACCTAAAACCTAACTAAAATCTAATCTAAATACCTGAGCTCTCATAACATAATTCTACACTAATTATAAATAAAATAATATTAAACAAACATAAAGCGCGTGAATATAATTAACATTTATAACATTGATAATAAAATAGTATTATTGTCATTTCTTTAAAATACTTTTAAAAACACTAGTTGTCCACGCGGAACATATAACCATCTAATTTTATAGAATTTATAAATTAATTGAACCACAATAATAATGATTTTAAAACATAAATCGAATATATGAATGTTATTTAACGTGACAAACACTGATTCCGTAACCCAAGTACTGTATAGATTAGGTTAGGTTACCATTGAAAATTAGGTTAGGTTGCGGTTCGAACACCAGGTTAGGTAACGCGACAAACTGATTCCGTAACCCAAGTACTGTATAGATTAGGTTAGGTTACCATTGAAAATTAGGTTAGGTTGCGCTTCGAACACCAGGTTAGGTAACGCGACAAACACTGATTCCGTAACCCAAGTACTGTATAGATTAGGTTAGGTTACCATTGAAAATTAGGTTAGGTTGCGCTTCGAACACCAGGTTAGGTAACGCGACAAACACTGATTCCGTAACCCAAGTACTGTATAAATTAGGTTAGGTTACCATTGAAAATTAGGTTAGGTTGCGCTTCGAACACCAGGTTAGGTAACGCGACAAACACTGATTCCGTAACCCAAGTACTGTATAAATTAGGTTAGGTTACCATTGAAAATTAGGTTAGGTTGCGGATCGAACACCAGGTTAGGTAACCATTGAATAGGTTACCATTGAAAATTAGGTTAGGTTACCATTGAAAATTAGGTTAGGTTACCATTGAAAATTAGGTTAGGTTACTGATCGAACACAGGATAGGTAACGCGACAAACACTGATTCGGTAACCCTAGTACTGTATAGATTAGGTTAGGTTAGGTTCAAAATTGAAATAACATTGCTTTAAATTAAAATTGAAAATATATCAATAATTTTTTGGGTTTGTATTAAAATATTGTTTTTGGGGAAATGTGACAGACATACAAAAATCCAGATTATTATCTTAAAGTATTATCTTGATAGTCATTGACAACAATATTATTTTATTAGTTATTATAAATGTTTATATAGATCTCGCGCTTTACAATTGATTAATATTAACTTTTTTATAATTAGTGTATAATTATGTTATGAGAGCTCAGGTATTTAAATTAGATTTTAGTTGGGATTTAGGTGTTTCCGCGCAATAATTTTGATGGATATATGTTTATTAGGTACTAATTAACTAATTTCTGTTGAAAAAAATCAATTTTTTCTAATGTGCGTAAACTCCGTATAGGCCTAATTATTTAGACAATTAATATCAAAAACAACAAAAATTTATTATCTAATGAATGATTTATTATTTTAATGAATAAAAATCTGTTACAATAAGAATACAAACAAAAAGTATTCAAAAAAAATTATTTATTATGTTTTGTTTAATTTTGAATCTATAAATAAAACTAAACAATGAATTTATTATTATATTTGTAATTATGATTAATATTTGTGATTTTGTTTAGATTATAGATAAGCGCGTGTATTGATTGTATAAAAATGTTAATCAATTATATAAAAAGCATTTTTATTTTTTTTAGTCAAATCAAATTGAAACAAAAAATAAAATATTTATTTATTAGTAAACTATATCTAATTAATAATAATTAATGCTATTTAATTAAATTAATTAATTAAAAACAAATATATATTGAGTAGTAGTAATGGTATTAATAGTACTATTAATGTATAAATCAAATTATTAATTATTTAAACACAAAAATAATTCAGAAAATATAAACTAGAATTTAGATTTAAAAATAAAATACAAAATAATTAAAAAATAATAGTTTGTTTTAAAACTAGTTTTAACAAAAAAAAATAAGTTTTTGTTGTGATTTCATTTTGAAAGTTAACCCCCAAATAGTGTCTTCAATATTAGGCCTACTTTGACCTCTCGACCTCTTGTTGTTGTTGTTGAAAGTTGTGTCCATCCAGTGATCGGATGGTCGCCACTGCGTCCATATTGGTCTCCGGTTTCTATAATACAAAACAATTTTTTTTATTGTTTCAATAATACATTTTTTTCTGTTAATAAATTTTTTTTCAGAAATATTTTTTACATTTTTGTCTTCATTTGATTTTTTTGTGTAAAAAATTATTAGACAAATGACGATAACTATGACGACGACAATAATTATGACAATAACTGCAACTATAATATAAGTCATTAAACCATTTTTGTTGGTCGAGTCAGTTGTCTGAGCGGTTGTTTTGGACGTATCAGTAGTTTTAGCGGTTGTTTTGGACGTATCAATAGCTGTAGCATTGGTTTGGATGACCGTAATGTCCGATATGGTGGCCAACGATGTTGTTGTTGTTGTTGTTATCTCTTCCGGCCAAATGTTTTTACAGTTAATGGCATACGGTTTGAGACTGTCTTTAGATTTGCACTAAAAAAATACAATTATTGAAAAAAACAAACAAATAAATACACACAAAAAAATAATATAATAAAAAACAGTCATTACTTTCGGTGACAGCGTTTGATTCAATGGTGTCGAACAATAGTATGGTTTTCCGTCGATATTAAAGAACAATATATATCCGGATCTGTTGTTAAGCATATTTTTGACGAGAAAACCATAGTCGACAATACCGTCGACCAGTGGCCAGAGATCGTCGGGCAAATCGTCGATAAAACAGTTATGTTGTTCTCTGCATTCATTGAAATCTATTGTATTATTCTTTGCCAACAATTGAATGAATTTTCCGACACCTTTGCGATGTCTATCCATAGCTATAACATACGGCCCATAACTATCGGCTACGGGACTGAATACAATTGAATCGTTGAGTTTGTATTGCAAATTGTATTCAGTTTTGTTTGTTATATCCGATCCAAGCATTCTTTCCATACATTCAACAACTGTTATATCAACAGCTAATCCATTGGTCTAATAAAAACATATATATATTTTTTTGGTTTATTTTAAATTGCATTAAATACTACTACTACTACTAAACTGTATTTTATACATACAATTGGTCCGTTAAAGGCATTACATGATATAAAACGATAATGTATAGGTAATATTTCAATATCATCGATACCACTGGTTACTATAGTCTTGAGGGCCAATTTGGCCACAATATCTGTACTAAAGTTTGTAACCACACTGTTGTCAGATATTATCACCAGTGGTTCATAAGTACTGTTACTATTGACTGTCGGCTCAGTGTTGGTGGTGTTGGGAAACGACACTTCAAATTGAAATTGTTGTCCGAAATTGTTGTACATTTTATAGACTTCGGTATAGTTTTGGGCCAAACTATAGATGACATCCCATTCGTGATAGACTCGGATGCCTTCAAACAGACCATTTGGTGCCAATATTTCGCACACCGACTGCTGTTGTGACCAATGAATGGACGACAAAACAATTACAGCAAACAATAATAACATCGGGATATTCAATGTAATCATTTGGATTTAAACCACTATTTTGTTTTTTGTTGTTATCATAAATTATATCTTTAAATATCTATAACTAAAACTCAGGTATTGACAGAAAAAAGTGTTGTTTTTTGTCTATGAATTCAATCAATAAGTGAATACAAATTTACTCAACAAATAACCGTTAAATTACAGTTAAATTTTATTTTTATTTTTTTAAAGTAATCTATACTACACTATACACACATTTCTGTGTCACGCAAACAATTAATTTTAATGTGTCGCGCGATTATTAATAATTTTTAATTTATTAAATAAAAATTAATTAAATAAAATATATACTTTTTATAATACACTGTATATTATATAGTGCGTGAAAAGCATTGTTTAGTAAAGAGATTGATTGAGACTTATTGTAATAATACTGTATTATTATGTAAAATTGCTTTTATTATTAATTATTAATGTAATGTTAAATAAATCTTATTATTTGTTATATTTAAATAGTATTTTTTAAATAATAAAATTTATTCGTATGTTTACATTATTTTTTTTGTGTTTGGCTATTTCATATAAGCCTAATTCAATGCTACCCTTACTTGATATACTGATTGAGAGAGAGAGAGAGAGAGAGAGAGAGAGAGTATTGTTGCACGTGTTAACTATTGTATTTGACGATTGAATGTCATGTAATATTATGTAATTATTATTAGGACTATTATTTTTATCGAAACACTATTATTATTATATAAAATCATACAATCAGTTATACTGTATAATACCAGTACATACCTCTCGGGACAGTTCAGTCAAAGTGGCAAAAAAATAATAAGGCTTAGATTTTAAGGTAAAAAACAGTACATAACCCTGACGTTGGGTACCGTAATCATAGTCGACAATAGCGTCGACAAACCTAAACATAATTTGATTGAGTGTTTGAAATATTTTCGGGAATCGACAGCCTTGTCTACGGCACCGGTCATAAATGAATACCCGATCGCTGTCCAAATAGTAACACTTAATGTGTTTGGGGACAACATTTTTCCGGTCGATAATAATTGTATAGATTGTTTGGTTATCGGGAAATGGACTAATTATCAATGAATTAGCCATGAATTGGGCATTTTTTCTAAGCTTATCGGCCGGTGGTCTTAAACAATAAGTAGTCAGTGTCTTGTTTTGCTTATCCTAAATATATACTGTATATGTGTGTGTGTACCACAAAAATAGGGTTAGTATAGGTTAGTTTGTATAGTATGAGCGCATACACAGGTAAGGTGCCTGAAGTATACCTTATAGTAGACCTCACAATAGTATGACTCATAAAACTGTTTTCCAGTTCTAGATCTAGTCGTCCACTTGAATGCAAACCTATTGACAATACTAGTGTTGATACTATTGACTAAACTGTTTGAAACCAATTCAACATCAATCGGCCGGTTATTGTATTTTTTTTTAATTATAAATAACTATTACTTTAATTTAATAGATTGTAATATAATTTATTGTACATTTAAAAACATTTATTTCTGTACTTTAAGATAATTAAAAAAATTAGTTAATCATAAGTAGAAAAAATAAATAAGTTATAGATTTTATGATTACATATCATTTGTGAAATGATTTTTTGCTAATATAAAAAAATAAATACTGTTTTTAATACATTATTTTACATTATTTACAATCAATACTCGCGATTATCTATAATTTTTTAACGAAATCACAAATAAAATAATTACAAATAAATTCATTGTTTAGTGTAATTTGTAGATTCAAACTGATAACTAAATACAAAAAATAGATTTAAAAATTTTATTTTGTATTTTTTTGTATGTATTATAGCAATTGTGTTCAATTCATTAAACTAATTAATAACAGATACTAATAAAACTCTATATATATATATTATATATTAATTGTCTAATAATAATAATATTGTGAATATGATTTCAATGTATATCTCATTGATATTATTTGTTTTAATTGTGTCCACACATTGGTCACACTGTTTTCAAGACAATAACACCACCAATACTAACAACACCAATACCAATGACACCAATGCCAACAACCAGTCGGTGTGCGGTATGTTGGCACCAAATGGACAGTTTGATGGCATCCGAGTATATAATCAATGGATTCCTAAACCAAACTATTCAAATGATAACACAAGTTTCTATGCAATCTATAAAAACGGTTTGTCATTGATGTTTGACGTGTCGTTTCCTGAAACTGATAATAGTTTTGATGAACCATTGGTTACATTAGCTGACAATACTAATAAAATAAATGAAACCAATTTTATCGATATGTTTGGTTTCAATACTGTGTTCACGATTGGATTTTGTTATAAATATACGTAAGTTATCTAAATATTGTTATTTTAAATATTTTAATTACTATAATTTTAATACATATATTAGCATAAATTAATTGTTAAATTGTTTTATAATTATTTTATTTTAATTTCAAGGACACCACAAACAAGTCAATTGTTTTGTATAAATGTTTTGGACGAAAATCATTTGACAATAATAGTGATAAACCATTGAACATATCGACAGAAGTCGAAAGGACTAATGGTGTTATAATTAATCCCATTCCCGTCACTAACACTATAGCTACCTATGTTATCGTAGTGGACAGGTATGACAAATCTAAGGTCAAGTTTGTCAAAATAGAAGAATTAGAAAATAATATCATTGTCTATGATTACGATGAATGTTACCGACTATTTGGGTGTTGGCGTCCGGAGTTTATCCACGACATACCCGATCAACTCTGGCAACACATCGACGGTATTGTCAATTATGGCAAAAATAACCGACATTTAGGTTATCTATTGTTTTTTGCTTTTGCTAAATCAAAATGTTATAAAAATATTTGTAAATATTTTTTTTTAGAAAAATAATAATAATTGTTGTCTTAAATATTTTTAGTGCAAATCCATTGGTAGTCTCAAACCGTATGCCACAAACTGTCCGGCAATTTGGCCGAAAATCAATAAAACCACTGCTTTTACTATTAAGACCTATATATTGATTGCCGTATTAATAGTCATATTAATTGCTAGTATTGTTTTGGCCATTGATATCATCCGAATGTATTGTCAAAGACAACAAAACTGTATGTCATTTATAAAATAACTACGATTTTTAAAAAACCTGATAAACAAAAATAATAAGACTTTTTGAATGATTTATTTTTGTCGTAAAATTTTGAATGATTTATAGGAAATCTGGTATTTGATCGACACTTCGGAAAAATGTCGGCAAATCGGACACCAATTGATCATTACGTGTGAACAGTATATCGACTAATAGACGATGAATATGAAAAAATAAAACAACAATCGCAACAAAAATAAATGTATTTTAATAATTATAACTCAAAATATATTGTTTTTTTAAATATAAATTTTAATTTATTATAAGTATTATATTTGTCTTACATTTTATATTTTTTTGGTTTTCTTATATAATTTTATATAATTAACTGATATTATTTGTTGTATTAAAAGATTTCTATTTTTTTATAAATATTTTTTATATAAATTTTATCTGAGTTTTACTCAATGATAAACTATTGATAGAAATTTATATCTATTTAGTATTTAATATTAAGTTTTAAAATTATACTTTTTTTCTTAACATTAATAATAATAATAAAACAAAATAGACAAACAATAATAATAACAATATCGACATAACAAATATAATAATATAGATTTTAATAATAATAATAAATCTATATATATTTAAATCAATAAATAACAAATAAATCATATGAAATTATAATAATCTATTAATTACATTGTTATAGATTTAAATAAATACAAAATAAAATTATTTTTCCCATTACTTGTCTGTTAATAATAACGATTATTACAAACAACAAAAAGTTATTTAACTCACAAACAAAATAAGATAACATAATTGTCTACAATTTATAGTGAATATGACTATTACAATGTCTATATCATTGCAATTGTTTGTTATCATAATTATGTTCAGTCAATGGTCTGACTGTAATCATAACATGGTATGCAATATATTGGCATCAAATGGACGGTTTGATGGCATCCGAGTCTATCGTATGTGGATTTTAGAGAAGGAATCGGCTAATGATTACAAAGATTTATATCTGATGTATAAAAATGGTAATCAATTTGAATTTCAGTTGACATTTCCAACAAACAGTAGTCATGAACCAGTGGTAAGATTATTGGACAGCAGTAGTCATATAACTAATGTTAAAACCGATAATGTTATCAAATATGGCATCAAAAATACAACATTACATCAAAATAGTTATACATATGACTGTTCAGTATGCGATGTATACTATACTGTAAGTAATGTTTTGTTGTCTATGTGTGTGTGTGTGTGTGTGTGTCTATGTGTGTGTGTCTATGTGTGTGTGTCTGTGTGTGTGTGTGTCTATGTGTGTGTGTATTTGTGTGTGTATTTGTGTGTGTATTTGTGTGTGTATATGTGTGTGTGTATGTTTGTGTTTGTGTGTGTATTTGTGTATGTATGTTTGTGTATGTGTGTATGTTTGTGTATGTTTGTGTATGTTTGTGTATGTTTGTGTATGTTTGTGTATGTTTGTGTATGTTTGTGTATGTTTGTGTATGTTTGTGTATGTTTGTGTATGTTTGTTTGTGTATGTTTGTGTATGTTTGTGTATGTTTGTGTATGTTTGTGTATGTTTGTGTATGTTTGTGTATGTTTGTGTATGTTTGTGTATGTTTGTGTATGTTTGTGTATGTTTGTGTATGTTTGTGTATGTTTGTGTATGTTTGTGTATGTTTGTGTATGTTTGTGTATGTTTGTGTATGTTTGTGTATGTTTGTGTATGTTTGTGTATGTTTGTGTATGTTTGTGTATGTTTGTGTATGTTTGTGTATGTTTGTGTATGTTTGTGTATGTTTGTGTATGTTTGTGTATGTTTGTGTATGTTTGTGTATGTTTGTGTATGTTTGTGTATGTTTGTGTATGTTTGTGTATGTTTGTTTGTGTATGTTTGTGTATGTTTGTGTATGTTTGTGTATGTTTGTGTATGTTTGTGTATGTTTGTGTATGTTTGTGTATGTTTGTGTATGTTTGTGTATGTTTGTGTATGTTTGTGTATGTTTGTGTATGTTTGTGTATGTTTGTGTATGTTTGTGTATGTTTGTGTATGTTTGTGTATGTTTGTGTATGTTTGTGTATGTTTGTGTATGTTTGTGTATGTTTGTGTATGTTTGTGTATGTTTGTGTATGTTTGTGTATGTTTGTGTATGTTTGTGTATGTTTGTGTATGTTTGTGTATGTTTGTGTATGTTTGTGTATGTTTGTGTATGTTTGTGTATGTTTATGTTTGTGTTTGTGTGTGTATTTGTGTGTGTATTTGTGTGTGTGTGTGTGTGTGTGTGTGTGTGTGTGTGTGTGTTTGTAGTTAATTATAGATATATTAATTTATTTTTTTGAAATATATATTATTAAAAGTCAACCAAAAATACAACTGTCCTAACACGATGTATCGATTCTAGACAACATTACATTAATATGCAATACACTATCAATGATGTTATCCTATTTAGTCCCGTTCCTCGACTGCAATCAAATTATATTATATCAGTTAACAGATATAACAAAAGTAATGTCATGTTTATCTATATATTGGATAATATGGTAATGCATTTCAATGAATGCCAACAAAAGATGTGTTTGTATCCAAAATTTATTGATGATATACCCGACAATCTCTGGCAACTGGTCGACGGTATTGTTGATTATGGTATCGCCGGTGACAGCGGTGGCGACCACAACAGATCGGGCCATATATTGTTTTTCAATGTCGACTCCGAGCCATACTATTGCAGTACACCATTCAATCAGAATCTGTCGTCAAAAGTAATGATTTAATTATTATATAATTTATAATTTTAAATATGTTTTACTTACAAAAAATTATTTTAAGTGTAAATCCATAGATAGTCTAACACCATATGCCACACATTGTTCAAACATATGGCCCACAAATTATAATCGGATTATCTATTATATATTGATTGTCATCGGAATTATCATATTTATTGTCATTATTATAATGTTTGTACTAATTATCAAAATGTTTTTATCCAATACTAAAAAGTCAATCAGCAGATCAACTATTAACTTATCAAAAATATAAGTTATTATTATTATTATTATTAAATATTATTATTTCTTTAAACTTAATTTATTATTAAATTACATTTTATTCAAATAAATACAAATATATGAATTGTATATATGAATTATATTAAAAATTTATCCAATAAAATAAGGATATTAAAATAAATTACATATTTTTAAAAAAAAACTCTACAAATTAATGTATTTTTGATTATTTATTTATTTATTTATTGAACTAATTATATGAAATAATTTAATATTATCTGAATTTTTTACGATTTTTTTTGTATTGTATAACATTTGCTATTAAATATACAGTACTCTTATTTAGTTAAGATACTTATTTAGTTAATTTATCATTAATTAAATTAATATTAATTTTATAATACAAACATATTATGACACGCGCTTTCCAATTGTAATAATAATTATTTTAAAAAATTTGATTCAAAATCAATTTAATATTAATATATAATTATATATAAGATATTACTAATATAATAATAAGATTATATAACGGATTCAAATTTATTTATAGATATATATATATAACAAACAATTATATAATTTTTTTTGGTTTCAGTTGATTTTGTGTATATATTTATTGTACAAAACAAATGAATTCAATGACGATTTGGTTGATATTGTTTGTTCTCATTGTTGTTGTTGTCATCCATTGGTCTGAATGTCAGTATTCGCATGTCTGTGACGTTATGGCACCAAACGGTCGGTTCGATGGCCTACGAGTCTATCATCGATGGGATACGGGATACCCGATGGGTGCCGACCAATACACAGATTGGTCCGAATGGCATGCAGACAGGTATCACATGTATAAAAATGGCAAACAATGGCAATTCAATGTCAGTATGGATGCGGCCAACAATAATGGCCAACCAGTTGTGACATTAGTGGAAAATAGTGTAACCGATATGAACGCCAGTATTGTCGTCCGATACAGTATTAACAATGTTTGGTATAGAGATACCAGTACTGCCTATAAATCTATATTATGCGATGCCTATTATATTGTAATACATATATATAATATATTATATAACAATAACTATGAACTAGTTATCTAACTATATATATATCTATAAATCTAACTATTTTTTTAAGGATCGGTCAGAAAGTATGATTAAAACCCAGTGTACATCTAAATTATGGTCAAACATTAGTATTGTTCAATACCCGATCACCCATAGTCTGATATTTAATGCCATACCAGCAAACAATACAGTCTATGCTATAATTGTATTCAAACTAAAACATGTAACACGTGAAGTCAGTTATTACTACTATATAAACGATAAGCGAATGTATTATACCGGATGTCAACCTCTGGACTGTTGGTTCCCGAAGTTTATCGATGACATACCCCTCGAACTCTGGACAAACGTCGACGGTATTGTCGAGTATGGTATGGCTGGCAGTGATGGCAAATCGGGACACATATTGTTTTTTTCGATAAAAGGAAAGCCCTATTACTGTAGTACACCGTTGAATGAAGAGCTATCACCAAATGTAATGTTGTCTATAAACTGATCTGTTTTTTATCAATTATTTTTATTTTGTTTTTTTTTTTAATAATAATTATGAAAAATTTCATATTTTAGTGCAAAATTGAAGACAAACTAACACCATATGCCACTAATTGTCTAAACATTTGGCCCAATGCTAGTACAACAACAACAACCACTACGACTACTACTACTACAACACTAGCAACTACTACAACAACAACATTGTCGACTACCGGTGCCGCTGATAGTACGACAACAACTCAAACAACTACTATCCCTACTGTCACCACTACTAGTACTACCAGTTCCGCTGACAACAACTCAAATATCTCCCAAACCAGCACTGAATCTACCGGTTTATCCGATGATTATTTCATTTACATTATAGTAGCGGTCGTCCTAATAGTGGCCGTAGTTGGTGTCAATGGTTTGCTAATATGTATTGTTTGTTGCCTGAAATCAAAACCAAATAATGATAACAAAAAAGTTAATATAATTTGTTATTATAATTATTATTATATAACTAGTTATTATAAAATTATAGAATTAACTGAAAATTATTTTTAAAACAAATTAAAACATTTGTTTTTTTGTTTAATTATAGAAAAAGAAATTTAAATTGAAAACCAAAGGTGACATTAAACCGGAGACCGACTCCTCAGAGGAGGCACAGGTAGGTCTCGAGAGGTCAAAGTCGGTTGAGAAGACACTATCAAGAGATTTATGAGAGAGAGAGAGACCAATAAACATAAAATTTTAGATTAGATTTTTATTTATAACAAAATAATAATTATTATTATTATATACAATATTTGTATTTTAAACTAAATTGTTTGATTTAAATGTCTATTATTTTTATTTTATTTGTGTTAAATAACTTAAATAATTTAAATTTAAAATAAGTTACTTTACTTTTTTTCAATACAACAAATAATTTAGACTTTTTTTGTCATTATCAACATTCAATATTGACATTATCTATCATATACCAACATTTATATATATATATATATATATAACGTATAATCTATATAATCTTATATAATCTATAAACCAATAATATATAATCTATACATATATTTATCGATGGTTTGTTGTATAATTGAAAATTGATTTGTAAACCCTTTAAGCAAATCCTATTGATTGTGTCAATCGTTTTGGAGTTACAGTGATTTCAAGCACTTTATCATTCCTTATGACTTTCAATTCAATCGGATTCATACCATTTGATTGAATTGTTTCGTATAAATCATCGACAGATACGACAAAAACATAATTAATTGTAATAATTATATCAAATTCCTTAAGTGTTTGACTATTAGTATATAAAAAAAATGGAAAAATCAGATTAAAACAAATTATTATTTGTTAGTATTTTAGTTATATATTTTAAATATTTTATAAATAAATAATAATAATCTTTCAAAACTAACAACTCATTCACAATACTGTCCATTGGTTTGATGACATTCCACACTATTATACAACTGTCTAATAATAATTCATTTTTCTTTATATTAGGGAACTTTCGGTCCTCTTTATCGGCCATTAGTTTATATTGTTTACTACAGTAGTCATTACAATACCAATAGATCTCAACACCCAATACTAGTTTGTTAGTCTATTTATTTTCTAATTTTTCTATTTTCGTCGAACAGTTTATTTTAAAATGTGAAAAACTTAATAAACTTTTAATCTCAGGATTTCCAATTGATGACTTTAATAGTTTATCATCACTTAATAACATTACTACAAAATTCAGTAATTTATCTGTGCTTAATATTGATATTACTGTCTATTCAGATCAATCAATTATTGAATTTTTGCAACCTTTAAACAAATTAACTAATCTAATTGACTTTACATTGAATGGCTGGTTTGAAGAAACAACCTGTGTGCCATCAATTATTGTTAAACCCTTTAAAAACCTTAAATACTTTACGTTTAACGGTTATCAAAACAAATTTTCTACAGGGTTTTTCAATTATTCTATACTAAATTATATTACTAAATATTGCCCTAAAATTGAATATTTAGATATAGATTTTATATTTGCTGACACTAAAGACCGTCGTTTTTCATTTAATAGTGATTTATTCAAAAATCATAAAAAGTTTTATTTCAATAAAAGAAAAAGAACTTTTGAAACCTTTTTAAAGAATTATAATACCGGTATAAGAGGACTGGTTGAGTTAATAAGTAAAACTAAAATTGCATCAATTACTTTAGTAGGCAATTTTAATTTAAATAGTTTTACTAAAAAACAAATTCTCCGATTAGTCAAACATAATAAAACTAAACTTTATTGTTTAGAATTAAATAATTATAGAATTATTTAAAAATGTCTCAACCCAGTACCAGTCACAATTATGACGAGGACTGTCCATTATATGAGGATCATAGACCAGAAACACCCAATCCTCCTATATATTTACCCAAAAATCGCAAACCTTATGATAATTTAATAAGGTAATATAATCGAAAATATAACAAAAATTATATATTAAGACGAGATATAGACTTTGGAACAATTAAAGTCGTTGTGAGCAAAAATAATGTTGTTTATTATCAACAATTTATTTTTGGTCCTCGAAAATCCTCTATTGAAAACAGAGAGCCTATGATATTTTTAATTTGTTCATCTCATAGCCCAAAAAGATCTCTTATTTATAAAATAAGATCTGAATATACACTATTATGTATACTTAATTATTATAAAATTAATATGTTACCTTTTAATTATATAAAACCTAAATATTCTATTAAATTAACCGAAACCATTAATAGTCAAAAATGGTTAAAACGTAGTGTAACAAAACGCTATATTTGTATATACTGCAATTTATTAAATGAAAATGGATATTACTTTACTAACCATATTGTCGACGAAATTAATAAGAATGAGATCACACATTTGTGCAACAACAAGTGTATTTTAATGTGTGAAACACATGATCACTGGCATAATAACAACCAAATTTGCAACGCAGAATGCAAACTATTTTGTCTTAAAAATAGTTTCGCAAAAACTTTGGAAACTACATGGCTTCCACAATTCACCCGTAATCATTGTGTTAATAAATTATGTATTTATTGTCTCAAATTAACCGATAGTAATGAATTATTAAATATATTAAAAAGTGAAGACATATCAAATGTTTTAAACACTTTCTATAACCATATTAATATGAAATCAGTGTTGTGTTTGTTGTGTCGTGCGAAACATTTTAGTCAATACAAAAATGGACATTCTATTGACCATTATATTGCAAATGATCTAAGTATCATTATTGATCATTTGATATCACACCATGTGACCGATATCCAAGAACCTCTACATCTGGAAATCTCTACATTTAATTATGGTGAAGACATCACAGACGACGCTTTGACATGGATAAGACGGTACTTCTATGATGTTGGAGTAACGAAAATTGAAGATATCATCAAAAGCAACATCAAGAAAGCATCACCGGATTCAGTTGTCTATTCATCACTAACAAAGGCGATTTCGGATATGGGGACACTGGGTGAATTTAATTCGTTTTATACCATACCTACTGAAGCTGATAACATAGCAGCCGATGATATAATCAATGACTTATTTAATAAACTTAATTAATTATTTAAACTTTCTTATTTAATCTTATAAACAATGTTTTTATTATATAAAACAAACTTTATAGTCAACCAATTATTGCAACCAAATACTATAATAATCAATATACTTACATAATCTGAATATTGTATACACAATTTAACCCTTTTATAATTATATAATATACACTTATTATCCAATAATTTTAGTCCTAGTATACTATTTACTATATATAAATATCACAATTAATGAGACTATTCTGATATAATTTATATTATTATATAACCGTAACTATGAATCTATTATTATATAATCTATTAATATATTTTGTGACTTACATTACATTACATGCAAAACTAAAATAACCAATTTTTTATATAAATAACTATATTTATATAAATATTTCCCAATATAAACACCTAATATTGTAATCTAATATTATATCTTAATCAAATTATATTCTAACCAATATTTAACCATTATATTTAATATAACATTTATCTTACATTTATGTCAATTTATTATATATCCTATTTAATAATTGATGTTTTTAATATTTAATTGTAATCTTAATCTTTATATGCGGACAGATATCATGAGATTCGAGTCGAATCTACAGGGAGAAGAGAGTGATGTCAATATAAATATTTAAATTATATAATACCTAATAATATATATATATATAATACAATAGATATCCTGTAAAAAAATTTTTATTCACCCTAAATTAATACATAAATATACTACATATAACATTTATATACAACCAAAAATCCAAAATCTCTACCCTTACCATAGCATAAATAGTACTAATTTTTTCCCGTTTAGAGCGAGATTTTCACTGTTAAGACATCAATCATTATATAACATAGTATAAACACTATTATATTGCAACAGTTTTCGCACCAACACATCAGAAAAATATTCCTTACCTCCCTTTAAAATTTATATTGATGCGACCGTTACTATAAAACCCCAAGTATTCTCAATGATTTTATCATTGAGATACTGGTAGTCATTGGCATAAGACTAGTACTGCTAAGAGCCGTTAGCAGATCAGTTCTCTCCCCCTCTGGTTCGACCCCTTCTCATTGATGGTCCGTATACTTGGATGTATACCACTTTGATGTCTTTTCAATAAAAACCTTTTGGATTTAATGTAAGTTTTTACCATTTATTGTCTCCTACTTTTTCTAAGCGACCTAAATCCGTGGGTTCCCGCGTCGGGAGCTCCAGTATCGAAAAGGTCCCTTCTTGTCTACAGTCTTAAGGTAAGATGACTGGCCGTCGGGTCCGCCGTGTCGGGGGATCTGGTCGGTTATGTTGTCAAGCCTTCCCGCGTAAATAGCTAATGGACGGAGCCGCCGTGTCGGGGGTTCCGGTCCAGTTATGTAACCTTACCATACCTACCCTAACCTACCTTATGATGGTAGACCGTCGGATCCGCCGTGTCGGGGGATTCGTACGGTCATGCCGTCATTCCTTTACCGTTGATAGTGTGCTAACGGATCTGTCGTGTCGAGAGATCTGTACGGCTACGCTGTCCTCCTCCCTTACCTCCTTTGACCTATACTTAGTTATTGTTGGTGTAGACTACTATATGTGTCATATAGGAGTCTCCGACATCCCCGAGATTGTACCAGGCCGCCGAAGGCTCTGCCCGATTTTTCGGCAATAGTCCTATGTCTTAGTGAAACAGTTGTAGTTTTGTCGGTTCTCAGTGTTATTTAACACTAATAGTCTGACCTTAAAATACAATTTACTAGGTGATCCAATAGTTGCTGTCTTCGTGACAATAGCACTAGTTTGGTTGATTGTTGTAATTATCGGCTGTTTGAGTGAATGTGTGTGTGAATGCATAGCAGTGGATTTCTCGAGTACATATGTGCTTTCGCTAACCTAGTATGGAAATGCATAGTTACTATTCGATATCGACTGACTAGGCAGGCCAGTGGTCCCAAGAGGGTTCCGGTCTCCCGATCGCGTGATTGTGTGTTAATAGCCGATAACGGACACTGAGTTTAAGACCGTTAACATACGCTCCTCAATAGTGATCCGAGTGTATAGTTAAGGTTTGCCTTAACTTTATGAGTCTATAGTCACCTTCGGGATTGACTGACCCGGTATAAATA